AAATTTACTCATTAAATAATTATTAACATTAAATTGACTAATAAAAAATATAGCACTCTGAATTACCGATATACAATTGACAACACAATAAGAGTGTCCCTAACCTTCAAATTTATTGCATGTCTTAAGCGCGAAGCGCGCAGGTATGCTTTATTCTCGCCTAAAAATCGTGATTTCGATTAAAACGTGATTTTTATAATTTAAACGAAAAAAATTATGGATAAAATGCATATTGCAATAAATAATAGTAATTACAGAACACGTTAAAAAAATTTTCTTATCGATTGAATAAGATTTCTCAGAAAAAACTCGTTCTTCTGATGAATTAAATGAATAAGAGCGTGGTAATATTCACGGGAGCTATGGGCTTGATAACACCACAACTTTGTCAAAAATCACTTTCATGATTTAATTTTTTTTTGTTTTATTCCTGAGGAAGTTTATCAAAACCCTTGTGAAAATTACGTGTCAAAATAATTCCGTTTCGATACAGTTAATTTTTTTCGATTGTCAGTTCGGTGACTTTTTCTGCGATTTCGGCAGCCATATATATTATTTTTCATAAACAGAATTGAAATAACTATAAACAAGCAGAAACTATACATACATGATGGTATAATTACTAACTGTTTTATCATCTGTTGAAATTTTTTCTTTAGTTCGACCTACAGAGGGGATAACACTTCTCGCGGGGAAATTCAAATTAAAAACCAATAATTTTTTTTATGATCTAAATAATTTATGTATGACATGAGCGCTTAAGGCATGCTCATTTGAATTTTCCAAACTTTTTATTTAAGTACAAGAGAGTATTTAGGAAATTCAGTATTTTAGGAAATAATAAATTATTTAAAATAAAAAAACATTGAAATTATATGAAAATAAACGTGGCTAGTCACGAGTAAAATGTATCTATAATGTGAGTATTCGCCACGTGCTTGTCCATGAATTCATGAGTATATACTATGCATTGGTGGGGTGGAGTGGTAATAGAAAGAGAAGGGATGAGAGAACGAAAAGAAAGAGGGAGAAAGAGAAAGGTATTATACACTACTTGTCTGTTTATGCAACTGTCGCATCTGCGCACGTCTCATTTAACAGTTTTATTCCACGCATTTTTCTTACGGTTTTACTCACTATCACATTTTTTTTCAGTTCGGTCACGCAGCGAAATCCCTATCCTTTCCAAGCCTGCCGTAAGGAACTTCGTTCCAATAATTTTTAATATTCTTTAATCATTCCGTTTAATAAGAGTTTTGAAATTCAAATGATAAAAAATTTAAATCAAGGTTACATATTCATTCATCAAGTTAATTTTAAATTATACACCCCAATATAAATAAAATTTTTATCATTATTTCTTCCAATCTTACTACACACGCAAGTTAAATAACTTAGACTTGATTTCCAAGAGATTAAAAGTATCCAAAAAGGTGAAAGGTTTCGAATAACATTAAAATATAATCTATTTATATCTTTATATTAATAGTAATTTTATGGATTTGAAATAAAAATAATGTTTTTTCTGGGTATGGGGTTAAAAGCATATTCGTGACCCTCGTGAGATATCTAGCCTTAGAATACCCAGCATTTTAAGAGACCGAATGAGTCAGTAAACACGCGAGATATTGATTTGTAATTCGAATAATGTTCATGTAATGCCGCCTGTTGAGCAGTAAATTACTTTTTTATGATCATTTTCTTCTTTTTAATGAATGCAAAGTTTACGTAGACAAAAACATTATTGATTAATCTATTTACTGCGGGGCGAGAGTTAGTGGAAAAAAAAAAAAATGCAACTTACCCCATAGGCCCGTAAGTAATTTCGCTTCTGTTAAAAGTAAGTAAAGTCCATAAAGACACCCGGTGTGAATAAATATTTGTGCGCTCAGGTCCAGCCATTTTATTTTCGGTGTATAAACTATTTTATTACTGCTATTGTTATTAGTAGTTTTTTCTTGTTTGTAATTATTATTGTTCTTCATTATATTACTTGCATTACAGTGTGGATCATCATCATTATCACTTAAAACAGTCGACTGTGCGTTCGGTTTCCTTGACGACATTGTAAAATATTATATTATTTTATTTATGATGAACTTTTTACAACTTTAGGATCTAGAAAAAAAAAATAATTGATTAAAAATATAAAATAATGATTTTTCACAGTAAGAAAAAATTCTTGACTTAAAAAAATATTAAAGACAAAAAATTTCTTAAATTAAATCAAAATTTTTTGAATAAAGTCAAATTTTCTTGAACCAAAAAAATTTATTCTTTCCCTTAAAATAATTTTGATGTATATTCTGTTGGATTATTTATTTATTATTATAAATAAATAAATATAAATATTAAGTGAGACGAATTGGTTATTAGAGTATTCATTGTAATGTTATGTAATAATAATACAAGGATGATATTTAAAATTTGTCATCCGGTATTTGTAATAAGTACGTCTAGTGAAAAAGTAATACTTAAATAATTAAAAAATGACAGAACAGTGCATTACCGTACTCAATTGTGACACACCACTAGCCTTGGCTATACTGGAAAAAAAAATATTCCAACTATCTGGAAAAAATTAAAAATTAGTGAAAAGATAATAAATAATAATAATTATCACCAAGGTCGTATCAATTCTTAAAATTGATAAAAATATGACGAGTGTTTTCGGTGATATAAATCAATTTAAAGCCCAAGCGAGATAAAAAAAAAATAAATTAATAAACCGTATCCAGCCAAGTGTTCGTTCATTAAATTTATTGGCAATGATTATTGTCTATTTGTATGTTTATCAATCTATCAAACACATCAAAAGTTATTAATTTAAATGCGATCTAATTTAAATGCCACGTGACACATCTCAACACCGCGATTGGTAAATATTTCCGTGACCGCTCGGTTTTGCTCGTGAACCGCGAATAATAAAATAATAATTTAATGATAAAAAAAACTAATTGCACTGAGATGTGCAACAGATGTTAATAATAAATTTAAAAAGTTGTTAAACTTACTAGTTATAAATTGTAACTAATATTAAATGCTTGATTTAACTGTGACGATTTTGATTGTAAAAAAACAATTATTAGGAATTGATAAAGTTAATGATAGTGTATATATATATATATATATTTTTTTTTTGATATGATAGTTAATGACAGTGAGTCATGGTATGCAAGTGTCACAACACTTGTGATTTACAAGATGTAGAATAGATCGATCGTTACAATCTTGTATGACGATAATCTGTTAAGAATTATTGTTGTACACCTGGCCGGGACGCATTAATATCTATCGGCTTATCTTTACTGAAAAATTTTTCTTGATAACGATAAACCGACTAATAGAATTATTAACTTAAAAATAACAATTTTTTATATAGCAATAATTAGTAATTAATAAACTACTTTTTATATTTTGGTATCAAATATAATTTGACAGATAAATGATAATAAACTAGACAATTGGAACAAAAATACTACGCCGCGCCTGTTTAGCTGAAGATACAACGAAATGTATATAAGCGATCACAAATATAAATATAAAAGTCTTATATTTGTTCAATGACACATTATATGTACTGGATAGTTAATGGAAATTTATACGTCTGTGATGGATTTTTTTAGTAATTTGCAGAATTAACATTAGAATTTTAATTCTGCAAATTGTGTAATTTTTTATGCATACAAATAACATGTAATTTAAACTGGTAAATTTTAAAGCGACTTGAGAATGTATTACGCAGCGATTAGACGGCAATGAACGCGCGGAGAAATTTTTTTTGTACTTTTATTTTTTTTTTCTATTTCACCCAGAGCTATTGTGCTGATGACACAACAGGAAAAGTAGATGAGTAAAAAAATAATGCCAGTGTAGAAAAAAAGAAACCAATTCACCGTGATATAATCGCAAATTTTAATAAATATTAACATACTTTCTTTTTACTCAAATCACTCAATGTTTTCTTATCAAAAGCTTTTTTTTTTTAATTAAAAAATCTTCACTAAAAAATAAACACTTTTTTTAATAATTTTCGTTTTATAAATTAAATTTTTTGTATTATTGACAACAAAGTTTTAAATAAAACTTGTGAAGAAATAAATTGAAATGATGATATACTTCTTAAAAGAGCGAGAGCACAAGCGTGTGTCAACTAAACACATTGCCGGCATGAACTAGAAGACGAAGGGAACACCCAAGCCCCCCCTTACTCACTAGCTACGTCTCTCTAAGTAAACTTTTATATTTGTATGTACGATTTTATCTGTATTATAACATGTCAATGTGATCCGTTGTATCATTCTTATTTATAAATAAATATATGCATATACTCATAACTCATTGAGTCCAAAATTCGTATTCGCAATAATAATAATAATAATTTATCGGGAAATTTTAATGGCTATTGTAATTTATTTGACTGCTAATTCTTTATCGGCAAATAGTTTTGTTTTGATGTTTATTAGCAATTATTAAGACGAAGAGATGAACTAATAATTTTTTAGTATGTAATTTTTATTTGAAAATGGGTGAAGCTATTGAAACGATAATATAGAGATTATCACGATTACACTGTACATGACTTTAAAGAATTACGTGTACACCCCAAGGACAATTGTTATGTCTCTCATAAAAAAACGAGACGTCAGTTAGCTCGGTAATTCTCGGAAGAAATTGAGTATATATTGAATATTATGGTAATGGAAGGAATTGTAAATTATAAATGTTAGGATACCGGTATAATAAGACTTATTTATTTATAATGAGTTATGTGATATTGATGTGTAGTTAGTTTCACCCGGTAAATATTTATTTTTGGATTATCAAATATTGTATTTCGTTGATATCAGTAAATTTCATAGAATAAATAAATTTTGAGTTTATTGATAGTTTTACATTTAATTTTTACAATTGTTACTCTAGAAATAATTATTAGTAATGTTACTTGATAGATATTTGAAACTTACTCGATTTCAAAATAATTGGATTAATTTTTACTAATTGAAATAAGTAATTTGAAGAGTCTTGAGCTTAATTATACGTAATTTAGAAATTAACATACTGGGTTTTTTTTTTATCTTGTTATTCCAGCTGACTCATATTTTCTTGTCTAATTTAGAATTTTTTTTTTAGTTCTATTTTTAAAATCTAAAAAAAAAATATGATTTTCTGTGTATCGGCGTTTGGTATTGTAGTTTTTGTCGCAAGATGTCAGTACAGTTCAGAATAGTTGATAAAAATATTTTTTTAATAAAAGAAGTTTTTTTTTTTTTTATTAATAAAAAATTTAATTATTTTTTTGAACCTTTTTGTATTTACTTTTTTTTTTCATCATGAAAAAATTATTTTAATAAATCTTAGAGGCTTTATAAAATGTGAAGAATAATTTAAAGGAAATTTTATATTTGCTTTCCAAATGAGTAAGCCCTTTTGTATGTAATTACTTTTTTTCTTCAAAATTTAATAATACTAGATTGAAGTTTACTGCAATAAAACCTTCAAAGTAATTTAAATTTTGCTTTGAGCCTTTAAGAGTAAAATTTAATTAATTTATGTAAATTTAATTAATTTCAGTTTCTGCAAGAGTGTATAATTATAATCGCATTACTTTTTTTATTTTTTATGTTAATAAAGAATTAATGAAAACAATATCTCTATAAATTATAGAAACAAGAAAATTCTTTATAAAATATTGATCCATTTTTTTGAAAAAATTTCTTAGTTAATATTACCACCAAAAAAAAAAAAATTATATTTATTATTTACAAAGATAAAACATTTAATCCATGACCAAATAAAAACACCGCCGATAATTAGATAAAAATAAAAAAAATTAAATACTGAGTAATAATTGAAATATATACTTATATTTTCTCAAGAAAAACCAGTTTTAGATTAAAAACGTATTTTTTGACTAAATTCTACTCTATTCAATAAATCTTATATATCTGAAACGTAATAATGAATAATTATATGATATTTTAACTTAAAAAGAAGAAAAAACCATTTTAGAAATTAAAAGTAATTGAAACATATATTTATATATTTCACAAGTAACTTCATCACATTATTACTACTAACAACATAAAGTTATTGGGTGGTAGCTTTCTAGGATAATTATAATTTGAACGATTCAACATTAACGATCAGGCCCATGCTCATTCGCTGAAGTAGGTCCACTTGACCTTCGCCGTAGTGGGCATAACGTAACTTTTAAAGCATTTATTTTTCGGGTCTCTCACCTTTTTCATGAAAGATTCTATACCTCTATACCTCTTCATACGACATACACCTTCCGTACTTTCAATCAACCTAATTTTGTTCCTGTTATTTTTTTAGTACTTACCTCCGGGCGACATCACGGTAAATACAACAGTTTATGTATGTGTGTACAAAGGATTGCAAAGATATTGGTTCAATGCAAATGTAAATACTCATATCCGATTGTAATACACTTCCATAAGTGTTATTCATGTTTGTTCGATGTCAATGTTTAATTTTTAATAGAAAATGCGTACCATTTTATTAATAATATCTATTATCGTTAAATAGGGAATTTTTTTTTTTTAATAGTTTCGGTAAATATGCTCAAGTAGGGCGTCTCATTTGGCTATAAAAAAATATGAATAAAGGATTCATATCTTCTATAAGTTTTTAAAATAATACATACAAAGAAACAATTATTTTTAACTCAATATGTTTTATTATTATTATTATTCATTGTAATAATAAAGTCTAAGATTTAATATTACATGGAAAAAAGAGTAACAGAAAAATTACAGTTTCTTCAGTAATAAAAGAAGCTTCAAGCAAAAAACTTAAAAATTACCCTTTCTAATAACGTTTTTATAAAATAAAATCCCAAGTATTGATTTTTACAGTTTAAAATGTAATTTTACAGTTCTTAAAAATGCTTTTTTTCTAGAGTTTGTAACAATTAAATTTTCAAACAGTAATTATTTCATTTTTTCATTCGGAGCACCTAGCATTTATAAATTGTAATTTTTTCCGTATAATTTAAAAAATGTATTGCTTTTATAATTTTGATGTTAAATTCAATGTCAAA